TTGCGTTACATTTAGATCCTACCCTCGGACGGACTGACAGACGCACATCAGACTCACTAGAGGGGTAAGACTAGCCGTTCGCCGCCGCTACGCGGCGGAGTGGCATGGTTTGTCGGAGATGAGGTGGCCGCAACCTTAGTGCTTCTTGGTGTCGCGTGTTTTGAGAGCGTGGTTCACCCCGTAGATCTTGGCATCGTGTATTTAACCAATTGCGTTTCCGTAGTCTCATTCGGCCCCGTATAATATCGTGGTTTGGAACATTTCTGTTACCCCGTACTACAGGTTGGGTGTTGTTTTCTTCAATGGCCCATGCTCTTTCGTGCTCTTCCCGGCTTCGAGGTTCCTGCTCACCCATGGCCCACGCTGCTCAGCGGTTCTGTCCTCTCTCTTGTGGGCTCATGCTCTTTAGTACGGTCTTTTCGTTAAAGCTACCTGTTTTCCGTTCTCAAACGTTTACGTGGGTTGCACTGGCTTCGTGGTAGATACTATTTCGTGACCGTTGGCCTCCCATCGCCGGTACTCTAACCAACGGGTGCTATTCCGTGCTTTGGTGCCTCCATGCAGTCGTGTGGTTCCATCGCCCGTGCATCGTGATCTCCTGATGAAGTGTCATCGACCGCGGTATCACGCTATCGTGCAATCGCGCTGTGGTTATGCTTTCTATGGTATTGTGCACGTGTAGTGCTTCTGCGTTGTACGTGTTATCGTGCTCTACGATGCCATCGTGCTCCACGGTGTGTAATCGTGGTCATACCAAGCCCACCCCTGTGCATTTGGTGGGCGGTCCGCAGTCCGTGCAATCGTGTTATCATGTACTGCTGTCCTCCGTGGCTCGGTAAGCTCAGGTTCTACACTGGTATGGTGCTCCGTGACTCGGTGGTTTCGCGTGGCAGCGTGTTCTCCGATGGTTTAGTGGATAACCCACCGTCCATGCTGTCGTGTTATCTCTGGTGTCGGGGCTGGGCTGTCGTCTGTGTTATCGTTAGCTACCGTAGTGTCGCGCTCCGTGGATC